TAAATGAAAACAGAGGAGCGACATTTCGCCACAACTGCGCCGACTTTATGCAGGTAGCCAGACAGTGGGACATTGTACGAAAAGTCAGCACACTCAGCACGGATAGTGCGCAACATGATTGCAGCGTCCAGGCAGCTCCGGTTCGAGCATATGCCTTGAGTTGCACATAGCTCCAACGCCCATACCACCGACGACATGTTTGTTTACTGTCCTGGCTTCACGGCCGCACACCATTTACGTCACAGCCAGGCATGAGTTAGGGAGCGCTGGATTTGTGAAAAACTCCCCTCTTCCTAAACCACTAATACCACAGTACTGGCAAAACGGGAGGAGCCGAGTGAAATACAAGCGCCCCTCATCCCAATCCACCCACACCGCAGTATTTTTTTCTTTTTTTTTACCCAAAACATATATTGTATATTATCGGGGCTATTAATACTGGTATCGGGTTTATCGGGATGACGTCATAATTCCTAATATCGGACCGATAATTATCGGGCCGATAATTATCGTGCATCCCTAGTCTCTGTGTGTGTGTGTGTGTGTGTGTCTGTGTGTGTATGTGGGTGTGAGTGTGTGAGTCTGTCTGTGTGTGTGTGTGTGTGTGTGTGTGTGTGTGTGTGTGTGTGTGTGTGTGTGTGTGTGTGTGTGAGTCTGTGTGTGTGTGTGTGTGTGTGTGTGTGTGTGTGTGTGTGTGTGTGTGTGTGTGTGTGTGTGTGTGTGTGTGTGTGTGTGTGTGAGAGTGTGTGTCTGTGTGTGTCTCTCTGTGTGTGTGGGTGTGCATGTGTGTGTGTCTCTCTGTGTGTGTAGATGTCTTTCATTACTGATGTACTTTGACTGCAGACACTCACTGCTGGACCAAATACATTTGCACCTATGTTGCAAATGTATTATCTTTTCAATTTACACACGGCATCTATTGCACGTCTGTCCGTCCTGGGAGAGGGATCCCTCCTCTGTTGCTCTCCCTGAGGTTTCTCCCATGTTTCCCTTTAAACTGTGGGTTTTCTCCGGAAGTTTTTCCTTGTACGATGTGAGGGTCTAAGGACAGAGGGTGTCGTATTGTCATACTGATATTTTGTACAAACTGTAAAGTCCACTGAGACAAATGTAACATTTGTGATATTGGGCTATATAAATAAACATTGATTGATTGATGGAGAAAATAAATGTCTAAAAAAAGAAAAGGGAGAGGAACAAATACAAAGATAAGCTTACATAATACAATCACATCTAGTTTCAACAACTCTGACATTAGCTGGCATGCAAGCCTCTAGTTTTAGGAGTTAAACTGGCATTGATGGCCAATAAGCCAAAACCAGTGGGTTGATTTTACATAAGATACAATCGTTAACGGTACTACTACTTTTATCGATACGGTCTTTTGGAGAAAAAATTAAGGTAAACTAACTAAACAAATTGTGAGCAAAACTAACATCGCTTTTTATTTAAATTAAATGTCTAATATTTCACATCAAAAGAAACAACAATGTGTGAACAAATGGTATTAAATAATCTGATGACAGAATTGTAAACAGAATAGCTGAAACTTAACAAATAAATAACTCTCAGTTACCTCTAATCATTAACCCATGTTTGTATCATGGAGTTAACTCCGTGTGTTGCTGCTAGCATACATAATACCTGACGTGGAAACGTTACTCGTCGATGGGGCTACAGAGCTACTAGAAAGACAGTCGAACCCGGTGCATTCCTCCGTCTGAATGTGGTGCACTTTTGCAAGATGTTTAGACAAATAGCTCGTGTTACCGCCCTTACATGCTAAACTCTTATTGCACTTTTGGTAACGAGCATTGTCCACACTCGGAGCGCCTTCTATCCGCCATCTCCTCCGTGTGTGTGTGTGTGTGTGTGTGTGTGTGTGTGTGTGTGTGTGTGTGTGTGTGTGTGTGTGTGTGTGTGTGTGTGTGTGTGTGTGTGTGTGTGTGTGTGTGTGTGTGTGTGTGTGTGTGTGTGTGTGTGTGTGTGTGTGTGTGTGTGTGTGTGTGTGTGTGTGTGTGTGTGTGTGTGTGTTGCTGCATGTAGCAGCCGCGTGTGTGTAATGGCGGGGAGAGATCTCTCGTCTGGATTCGAAAGACCGAAAATACTAAAAAATAATCATAGACGCAGTCTTCTTGCATATTAGAAACGGAGTTGGCGACACTAAAACTGCAATATAATGTTTTTGTAGCAATAATACATACGACATATTTTTTACATGTTTGCCTACCGATAAAAAGACCGATAATGTCGGAGCTTAACGGTACCACAGTCTTTAATAATTCAGCCCTATCCCTACTAAATTGTGATATGTTATTTTGTTATGTGGATAGAACATTACACATTAGCTATGGGGTTTTGGTCATATCACATCAGGTCAGCCAGTTGAGGTGGTTCGGGCACCTAGTTAGGATGCCACCTGGGCGCCTCCCTAGGGAGGTGTTCCAGGCACGTCCAGCTGGGAAGAGACCAAGGGGTAGACCTAGGACCAGGTGGAGGGATTATATCTCTTCGCTGGCCTGGGAGCGCCTTGGGATCCCCCAGTCAGAGCTGGTTGATGTCGCCAGGGAAAAGAAAGTTTGGGGCTCTCTGCTGGAACTGCTACCCCCGCGACCCGACCACGGATAAGCGGGAGAAGATGGATGGATGGATGGACATCAGGTCACTATTAGTATTAAATACTGGATGCACCAGGCAGCGTGGCACACAGTCTTTAGCTATATAGTAGCTGACACAGTGGCGGGGGAGAGATAACTCGTCTGGATTCGAAAGATCGAAAATAATCATAGACGCTGACTAGTCAGTCAGCTTAATGTACGTTTTTAATATCTGCATTCAGCTGACAAGATAACATGAATGTAACCAGAGAACTAAGCGCATAAATATACTCAAATGACTCCAAATCCACGATTATTCAACACATTAGCGGAGGGTCCATCCATATGGAATGCCATTTAAGCCAACATTAAATAAATACATAAATAATTAAATAAATACATATATATATAAATATGGCTATGAAATAAATTCTAAAATAAATAAATTAGGCAATAAATATGTATACATGTACATTTAAATACACATTTATTTATTTCATGGGACTTTTATTTCATAATGACACATTTATTTATTTCAAGAGACTTTTATTTCATGACACATTTATTTATTTCAAGAGACTTGTATTTCATAATGACACATTTATTTATTTCAAGAGACTCGTATTTCATAATGACATATTTATTTATTTCAGATGACTTGTATTTCATAATGACACATTTATTTATTTCAAGAGACTCGTATTTCATAATGGCGCATTTATGTATTTCATGTGACTTGTATTTCATGATGAGACATTTCCATTCCTTATATGCAAATGAACGGGGCGTGGTTAGCTCACAGATCCAGACCAAAGCAACAGCACCACAACACTAGAGGCTTCTCAATACTCAAATTTCCCCTCCTCGACTGCTCGACTCCTCGGTCCTCCGGTAGTGACCCGGAAATGAATTTCAGAGCGCCATTTTGAAGGACGTCTCATTTCTCTAAATGCACACCGAGGAACGAGCATCGAGCGTCGAGGAGGCTCTCTGGAGGAGCTATAACCAGGGGTGCACACAACCTTTTTGCCCTGGTTCTCAAAGGAGCACCTGGAGATGGTGCTTGGTGCGCATCCTTAAAATGAAATAAACCGGACCTTTTGAGGGGTACTTGACTTTATAAACGGGGGGGGGGGGGGAGTTGCGCTAGTGAGCACGCTCATGGACTGTTCACCGGAGCCTCGCAGCAGGGTTACTGTGCGGAGTGCATAAAGCAGACCCTTCACACGATAGCGAGGGGGTAGAGCGAGGGATCGACAGATGCCGTCGTGCTCGTGGACGGATTAAAAAAATCAAACCTAAACGGCTTACGAATTATACTTTGGCGGCCGTTAATATACCTGGGTGGCCCGCCCAGGTAAAGTCTATGTGTGGGAAACCCTGCTATCTTACCAGTTAATATGCAACTCGCAAATATCTCTCTCGCTCAATGTTGGTGCGCAAATGCGCCTTTTTTCAAATGATCCGGTGCTCCTTTTTTCGCGGCGGGTGCGCATGCGCACCAGCGCACCAGTTATGTGCAGCCCTGGCTATAACCGAGGATACACTGATGGTTCCTCCACGGCTCCTCCACGGATGCATTTCCGGGAACGGTGGAGGCGTGACGCACGGCCGGACTTATCTCAGCCAATGACAGCTATGCATGCATCCCCTGGATATTATTTTAGAAACTGCTTTCATCGCATCGCGATGTTTCCAGAGAGAACAGCTGTACGGTCCATGCAGAAAGCAGAGCAGTGTGTATAATATATATCACTCAGTATAACAGGCCTACTCTCTTTATTTGCTTTAGTTTAGTAGATATCTACAAACAAAGAGTCGATATTTTTCTAAGACCATTGCTTCACATAATAAAATACACAACGGCTTATGCTTTAGGAGCTGTAGGTGTGTGTGGTACAGTGTGTAGGTGTGTGTTGTACAGTGCGTAAATGCGGCGGACAGACGGGTCTCAGTTGGTTTGGTGTCCTCTGCTTACTTTTAATTACTTACTTACTTACTTACATGTAAATACAACTTTTGGCCCGTAATTTCAATTCCCCATTTCAGCGACCAGAGAGAGGGGGGGATATATCCAGTCTCTGATTGTGTTACGTTATTATGAGAGTGCTCTCATACTTTAAATTGTATATATTTATATAAATATATATGTGTGTGTGTGTCCGCATCTGTAGCCTGTTATTGTCTCATTATACCGCACTCTCAATGAATTCAAAGTAAATATGTGGGGGAACAATGTTCAGCTGATTAACAGAGATACAGACTATGACAAAACACTCGACAGCTGATGCAGCTGTTGCCAAGTAATAATGAACGGACGTCTCTTTAAAATGACCGCTCAGTTCTCATTTCTTTAAACGTCTGCTGCTTCCCCTCCTCTCTCCTCGGTTCCCCTCCTCGGTCCTCCGCTCGCATCTCCTGTGGGCGGGTCTAAGTCTCGAGGAGGGGAACCGAGGAGGGGAGTCGAGGAGGGGAAATTTGAGTATTGAGAAGCCTCTACTGACTCAATAGCTTTTCACACTCCAGTACTCTTAAGTGGTTTGCAAACTGCCAATAAACCAAACCGGTTCAAGAACCATTCTTGTGCTTTTCTGGTGCTTAACTGGTTCTTCTCTGGTCTTATCTGGTCTTCTCTGGTCCGCCCAATGCTGCTCTTCTGAGAGCAACCGCTCTGACAGCTCTCTCTAGTCTCTACTGGGAAACAGCTAAAAGTCCTTCTGGAGGTAAGCAACGCTACACAATTACACCCAGTCTGAGAATAAAATATGTCTCGAAGGTTCGTTTTGCTTTCTTACAACGTTAAGTTAATGTTAACGTAACCTTACGTTTGCTAGGAGGCTATTGTTACGAGCTAGCTGTCTTAGCTAACAACAGTTAGCAGCTAACGTTTTCTGCAGTTTGTGTTGCCCCTGAAAAACGTGATGTAGTTATTTAAGGGTATGTTAAATTAACGTTATTTTACAAGTTGAGAGAGTTAAGTTGTGTTTAAAATCGTCAATGTAATGCACGTTAGAGGTTTTTAGTTGGACATGAAGTTAGCTAACGTTAGCTAACTCTACCAGGTTAGCATGTTAAGCTGTACTTTTTGTGTCAGCTAGCTTAATACAAAGAGGGGTTTTGTGCTTCATTGCAAACTTTTCTTTGTTAATCTACCTGAAACTGTAGGGACAGTTTGTTTCTACTCAACTATACAGACCATTGTTGAGGAGATGCAAAACATACTGTACATGAGTTGGGTCCAACATATACCTTGAGTAATGTTACTTTGCTGCTAAAAATGAAACATTATTATCAGATGAGGACATCACCAAAGTGTGTGAGCCTGTCAGGGGATTTGATCTGTTCTCTGCATGTCCTAAACACTGCTCTGGTATTACTTATCTTGTAACATGTAAGTCTCTCGCTCTTGTCATCGTTCAGGCTTTGCATTTGAACTCCTATGACTGGTTGCGGACTTGAAGGGAACGCCTTCCTGACATCCAGGAAAAAGGTGAGATTATAATACATTTGAATGCCAAAAGCAAGTTATTGTTTTTAACTTTTTAAATATGATTGTTTTGGGGCATTTCAGTTTTATTGGACAGGCAGTAGAGATCTACTGGAAACAGTGGAGAGGGAGGAGATGATATGCAGCATACGGCCCAGCCGGATGGTTGCTGCTCCGTGTGGAACGTGTCCTATCAGGTAAAGCACTTTGGTACCCAGTTATTTATGGTATTGAGTTTGAATTTAGCTTTTGGAATGTAATTTCCAACAGTGCATTGTAAAGACTGAAAAAACAGCCTCAGGTTAAAGCTTGACATGATTTGGTCTTTTACTTCAGAGGATGTTTGTCCTCCTGTGTTGTCTTATTTCCTTATCTTTCTTTCAGGTGTAACATCTACCAATGGTTGTACATGACAGAGACCTCCTCCACCTCTTTGCTGTCTTACTAGTCAATCCTTCTGATCAGGTCCTTTCCTAAATAGTGGTAAGTTTTACAGTTCAGTGTACGTTAATTTAATAACTTAATGCTTTACCGCTGTTGAATAAATCCTATATTGCTAGTCATTTTATTAAAACTACGATTTGTAAACTTTTTGATTCCAATTACAATAATCTTTTTGTTATAATTGTAAAACATATCTTAACATCCATCAGCAATCAATACAACAAATCATCCAACACTAAATAGAAGAAATCTGGACATATTTCTTTTGATACAGCAGCATGTTTTAGGACTGCTCATTGATGCCATCAAGAGCCATTGAGTCTACCTTTTGTAGTCGGCCTCTCAGAATGTTTATCATTTATTTGTATCTTAACATTCCTATAATAATTAGTTTTTTTATTGTTGATATTGTTTTGTTCTTTATTTTTGTTGTGAGAATCACTTTGCAATTGTGTAAGTGCTATATAAATAGTTATACTAATATTATTGTTGTTACCATCATTACTATTATTATGCCCCGGCCACACGGGGACGAAAACGGTCGTTTGCGTTACTGTTTAGTGTCATATAGACCGTTCGGCCACACGAGGACGACCGAATACGGCACTAAACGACTGAGGAAACGATAACGGGTCCCAATGTGGATAGAACGCCATACGCAACGCTCTGGGGGGTCCAACGGCTCCGTGTGTACGCCATATACGATCATTTTCTGATAATGATGAGGCAATAGCCTCTCCCCACCTCTGCTGCTCACCCCCGCGTCAAAGTAAACTGCACACTGAATTCAGATTATTTATCTTTCTCTCGATATGGACATAAACGCGAGTGAAGTCTAATCTGACAGGACGGAGACACCTCTCAAACTACCTAAACTAGTTATAAATATGTTTATTTTTACTGTCGGCCGGGTCACTCATTACTGGATCAGCTGCTGCATGAAACAGACACTGACGCTGTCAGAAGAGAGGGAGGAAAAAGAGAGGCTCCATGTATTTTATTATTATATTATATAGAGTCGTTATTCATTTGTTTTAAAGCTCAATAAATAACAAAGAAGACCTTTGACCGGCACGTTTATAATTTTGTCGGAAGATTTAAACTTTAATACACGTTGACTGGTGAAAAACTCTGCCCGGTTCCCTCGGCCCCCACCGTGGAGAATAAACAGAAGGGCAACCATGACAACCATGCTTCTTCGCTGCTTTTGTGGAGGAAGTTACAGCGCCACGTAGAGGCTCTTGCATATGTACTGCAGCTTCTCCAGCGGTTGGAGCTAAACGGAGCTGTCTCGTGTGGACAGATAATATCCGGATGACTATTGCGTGTGGATGGAAGCTTTCTTGCGTTTGCGTTAATCCTATGCGTTTAGCCGTTGTCGTCCTCGTATGGCTAGGGCATTAATAATGTCTTCTTTGTTTTCTTTATTCATCGCTGCAGAAAGGATCATGCCAGCCCACATCAAACACCTGATCAAGAACTTGTGAACCTCACTGCTGCGCGACACCTGTGTGATATTCGACTCTGACTGGAACACTCCATATGACCTGCAGGTACGATATATATATATATCTGCTCTGTCTGTCCTAAAGATAGTTCAATAGGGCTACAACAACAACAACAGTCTTTCCGTTTATTCCCTCGGTTCTTTAAGTGTATATTTTCCCATTTAATGCTTAAAAACGTTGAACAGCAGCTGCACATGATGCTCTTTTGACCCCTCTTTTCATTTTTTATTTCAGGTTCAAGCTCGGTGTCATCGTTTTGGCCAGCCTAAGGCGGTGAAGGTGTACCGTCTGATCACTAGAAACTATGAGAGGGAAATGCTGGATAAAGCTAGTCTGAAGCTCGGGCTGGACCGTCCCGTCCTGCAGAGCATGAGTGGCAACAACAACGGGGTGAGAAAAATAAAATCTGTCATATTTCTAGATGCCAAGTAATTTTTGGGTCAGTCGCTGTTGCAGTACGCTTAGTTTATTTTCAAAAAGAGTTTTCTAAATCCACTTGTGTAAATGTCTCTCTGCGTCGCCTTTAGCCGGTCCAGCAGTTCTCCAAGAAGGAGATCGAGGACCTGCTGAGGAAAGGAGCCTACGCCGCCATCATGGACGAGAACGTCAAGGCAATCGCTTCTGCTAGGAGGACATCGACCAGATCCTGCAGCGAAGAGCCACCATCAACACCATCACCAGGTATGTTCTTAGCAGCACTAGCCACTTGCGCTTTGTGTTGGTAACCAAGTACTTGGTTATTTGAAATGTAATATTGATGATGTAATAATTAAAACTAGGGATGGGTACCGTGCCCTGGTATTAAACGGGCCCCGGGGCTGAATTATTAAAGACCGTGGTACCGTTAACGTCATCAATCTTTTTATCGTTACGGGAGACATTTAAAAAATAGATGTCATATGTATTATATCTACATAAACATTATATCGCAGTCTGTCGCCAACTCCGTTTCTAATATGCAATAAGAGTACAAAGTGCGTCTATGATTTATTTTCGATCTTTCCAATCCAGACGAGATCTCTCTCCCGGTGTGCGAGGGGGTGGGGCAACACACACAAACACACACGCACACACACACACACGCGTGTGCACACAAACACATGGCGGAGAGAACTAAGCGCCCCGAGGGTAGTTATGTTACCCGTCTTGAGCATGGATGTATAATAAGAACTGGATACAGCATCGGAGGAGGGGCCTCGTTCTTTCCTATGAGAGCTGCTCATTGGCGCATGAAGTCAAAATGGCCCAACTTTTGAGAGAGCGAAACGTCACAGATTACACGTCATGCCTGGCTGTCAGAGCAGAAGAACCCGTTTGTGCGCTCACAGAGCATGCGCCCCTTAAGCCCCGCCCCCCGAGCACACACTCTCGGCTCACTAGAAAGAATGGAGAGAGAGAATAAATCTAGATTCGGCTTTTAGTGCATTTTACAACTTTAAGGACTTAATGATTCTAGGGCTATACAATAGTTCATACTGGGTAGTTTATTTAGTTTAAAAAAAATTATCCACCGATTTACAGACGTCTCTTTCCCAATGTTAGACAATGGGAAAAAGTATTTCTGGGCCGGTCGACGTCACAGACTGATAAGGAAATTGTAGTACCACCGTTTGGACACAACGAATATTTTCCTCAGAGTCTGGTGCACTTCCTGGGGGCTTGGTCTTGAGGTGGAAAATGCTCGTTGCCAATAGTGCAATAAGAATTTAGCATGTAAGGGCGGTAACACGAGCTATTTGTCTAAACATTTAGCAAAAGTGCACCACATTCAGACGGAGGAAAGCACCGGGTTCGACTGTCTTTCTAGTAGCTCTGTAGCCCCATCCACGAGTAACGTTTCCACGTCAGGTATATATTATGTATGCTAGCAGCAACACACAGAGTTAACTCAATGATACAAACATGGGTTAATGATTAGAGGTAACTGAGTTATTTATTTTGTTAAAGTTACAGCTATTCTGTTTGCAGTTCTATCATCACATAATTGAATAAGATTTGTTAAAACATTGTTGTTTCTTATTTTCAGTTTGCTTCAAGCAGTGGCTGCACGAGAAAGACGTGGAGGACCAAGAAATGCTGGCCAGATTGGCAAAGACCGGAAGATACATCACAGAGAAGATAATGGGTATTAACAAGAGAAATAAAAAAAATGTTTATAATTTCTTTGTTGCTGTTTACATTTTGAATTATATTTGTTATTTTTAAATCAAATGCATCTTTTTTAGATGATATATTTATTTAGATGTAGGTTTTTTTTGTAATATTATTGTATTAAGTATAATTTATTAAATAAAAATACTGTTATGAACACTATACAATGTCTTTATTTTGATAGTTACCAGAATACATTGTATATTTAATATTAACATAAGCTGGTGATAGATATATGCTGGTCTGCTGGTATGCCAGCAGACAAATATTTATAAAGAAAGAAACAGAAGGGAGGAAATGATGACTCAGAATAAATCACAGTAGAAAAACATAAAAAATATATATGTGTAATGTCATTTCAATTATATATTTATTACATAAACAACAGCAACGTTAGTTAGGTGTAACAATCAATCAACAACTTTATTAATCCCGCAAGGGGCAATTGGTTATGAGCAGCAGCTTATGTCATGTACATAGGCAGGAACATACAAGAAGAAAACACACAGATACACCCGGGAGCGCAGATGTGGATAATTCCAATTTACACTATAAATAGTTCAAAGCATCACAATAATAAATAAATAAATAAATAATCAAGTTAAAAGCCTTTTCAAGAATTTCAAAGTTTGAGTGCAGAAGGGATGAATGATTTAGAAAAGCGATTAGTCCTTTGATCAGGTAGAGCATATCTTCGCCCTGATGGCAACAGACGAAATTCATGTGAAAGTACATGACCTGGAGAGTTCAGAATGCTCTCTGCTTTCCGCAGAATCTGTTGGTTACAGAAGGAATTTAAGTCTCTCTGTTTCACGCTGATGATCTTGGAGCAGGTTTTAACAATGATGTTTCGGCTATTCCTGTCTTTCAGTGTAAGGCTATGGAACCAGCAGATAAAAGAAAAACAAATAAGGCTCTCAATGAATGCTTGGTAAAAACGACAAAGAATGAAAGGCCTGACAGAGAAAGAGTTCAGTTTGTGAAGAAGGTGCATTCTCTGTTGACCCCGCTTCACAATACACTCAGTATTCACATCAAATTTGAGGTGGTCATCGAAAATGGTGCCCAAGTATTTGTATGATGTGACAATTTCTACCTTGTCATTGTGTATGATGCACTCCTTAGGAACATCCTTGTGACGTCTAAAATCAATGATCAATTCCTGGGTTTTGGAGACATTTAAATCCAGAAAACTGTCGTCACACCAGGAAATAAAATCGTGTGCCTGATACGCACATTGTAGAGGATCAAGTTCACCACCTACTACTGACATGACAAGGCCTTTAACAATTGTTTCAAACATTTTCATTACCAATGACATTAAAGCCACCGGTCTGAAGTCGTTTAGGACTTTAGGATGAGGTTTCTTAGGGATAGGAATTACAGTTGAGGATTTCCACATATCAGGAATTTGGCTATTCTCAAGTGACAGTTGGAAGATATGCTGGAAAACACCACAGAGTTCGCTAGCACAATACTGGAGTGTACACCCACAAATATGGTCAGGACCTGGGGCCTTCCTAATATTGACTCGTTTTAAGAGATTCCTAACATCATCCTGTTCAATGACTATGTCTGAGATAGGGGAGAGAGACTCTCTAAGGGTTGAGGTGTTTATGGAGAAATCATTTTTCTCGAATCGAGAATAACAAATGTTAAAAGCATTGGGGAGGTCTGCCTCATGTGTTCCCTCAATGTTAATGGGATTCCTAGCCCTGTCATTGTTGTTACCCTGGGAATGGAGGACATTGATTTGATTCCCCTCCAGGCTTCCCGAAGATCTCCACTGCTGTATTTGAGTTCCACCTTATCCCTATAAGCTATTTTAGCTTTTCTTATCTCATTTCTTAATTCTCTGTTAATTTCTTTTTTGTACTGACTGCTTCCAGTGTAAAATATACATTTCTTTCTATTTATAACACTCTTTAGTTCCTTCGTGACCCACGGCTTATTATTAGGGAAGACGGTAATCAATCAATCAATCAATCAATGTTTATTTATATAGCCCAATATCACAAATGTTACATTTGTCTCAGTGGACTTTACAGTTTGTACAAAATATCAGTATGACAATACGACACCCTCTGTCCTTAGACCCTCACATCGTACAAGGAAAAACTTCCGGAGAAAACCCACAGTTTAAAGGGAAAAATGGGAGAAACCTCAGGGAGAGCAACAGAGGAGGGATCCCTCTCCCAGGACGGACAGACGTGCAATAGATGCCGTGTGTAAATTGAAAAGATAATACATTTGCAACATAGGTAGTCCAAATGTTTGGAAATGCATGTGTGTATAATAGTAAGATGAATCCACGAGGATATCCATCCAGGACCTATGATCCAGGACCACAGCCACGACTCAAGATCCAGGGCTCGCGATCCAGGACAGAGGAGCGCAGGATCATCCATGACTCCGGATCCCGGCGTATATAGACACCAAAAAGAAAGACATTTGGGGAAGCTGGGTTAATCGGAACATGAGAGTACACAGGTATAGACAGAGAGAAGGAAGAAGTAAGATGTCCCCCGACAAACTAAGCCTATATCAGCAAAACTAGGGGCTGGATCTAATCAGCCCTAACTATAAGCTTTATCAAAAAGGAAGGTCTTAAGCGCACTCTTAAAAACGGATAGGGTGTCTGCCGCCCGAACACAAACTGGAAGCTGATTCCACAAATGTGGAGCTTGATAAGAAAAGGCTCTGGCTCCCATTGTACTTTTAGAGACTCTAGGAACAACCAACAACCCTGCATTCTTGGAACGCAATGCCCTAGTAGGACAGTAGGGTATAATGAGTTCTTTAAGGTAAGATGGCGCCTGCCCATTAAGGGCTTTGTAGGCGAGAAGAAGAATTTTAAATTCTATCCTGTGTTCTATAGAGAGCCAGTGTAAGGCAGCCAGAACAGGAGTAATGTGGTCCCTTTTCCTAACTCTGGTTAGTACACGAGCCGCAGCATTTTGAATCAGCTGAAGCGACTTGACTGACTTCTTGGTACACCCTGATAATAAAGAGTTACAATAATCCAGCCTTGAAGTAACAAATGCATGGACTAGTTTCTCTGCATCGTTTTGAGGCAAGATATGCCTGATTTTTGCAATGTTACGTAGATGGAAGTAGGCGGTCCTTGAAATTGATTTTATGTGGGCGTTAAAGGATAAATCCTGATCAAATATAACACCAAGATTCCTTACAGTCTCACTGGAGGCCAAATTAATGCCATCCATAGTTAGTATATCCTTAGATAATTTGTTTCGTAGATTCTTCGGGCCAAGTACAATAACTTCAGTTTTGGTCGTGTTTAACATCAAAAAGTTTAAGGTCATCCACGTTTTTAAGTCCTTAAGGCAGTCTTGAATTTTATTTAGATGATTAATTTCATCAGGCTTGATTGATAAATATAGTTGAGTATCATCCGCATAACAATGAAAGTTTACAGAATGATTCCTTATAATATTGCCTAACGGAAGCATATATAATGTGAACAAAATAGGTCCGAGCACTGAGCCCTGTGGCACTCCATGGCTAACTTTGGTTTGCGTGGAAGATTCATCATTGACACGTACAAACTGAGAGCGTTCAGATAGATAGGACCTAAACCAGTCTAAAGCAGTTCCCTGTATGCCAACTAAGTGCTCTAGTCTTTGCAATAAGATATCATGGTCGATAGTATCAAATGCAGCACTGAGATCGAGCAAAACAAGAATAGAGACACGTCCCTTGTCAGAGGCTATTAGAATGTCATTTGTGACTTTAACCAGAGCTGTCTCTGTGCTATGATGTGTTCTAAAGCCAGACTGAAAAGCTTCAAATAAATCATTGTTTTTTAAGTAATCACACAACTGTTTTGCGACCGCTTTCTCAAGAATTTTTGAGAGGAACGGAAGATTAGAAATAGGTCTATAGTTGGCTAAAACCTCTGGATCGAGGTTGTGCTTTTTAAGAAGCGGTTTTATCACTGCTACTTTGAATTATTGTGGAACATAGCCTGATAATAAAGACATATTCATAATATTTAATAAATAAGTGCTAATTAATGGAAAAACTTCCTTCAACAGCTTAGTTGGAATTGGGTCTAACATACACGTTGATGGTTTAGAAGAGAGAATCATTGAATTTAATTGTTCAAGGTTAATGGCTGAAAAGCATTCTAGTTTACTATCTAGTGTAATATTAGAACTTACGTTTCCGGGAGCTGTTGATAACACTATACTGGTCAAAGGCAAGAGGTCATTAATTTTGTTTCTAAGAGTAACAATTTTATCGTTAAAAAAGCACATAAAATCATTACTACTGAGTGCTATAGGAATAGAAGGCTCAATCGAGCTGTGGCTTTCTGTCAGCCTGGCTACAGTGCTGAAAATAAATCTTGCATTATTCTTATTCTCATCTATTAATGAAGAGTAGTAAGCTGCTCTCGCTTTACGCAATGCTTTCTTATATTCATTGAGAGTAATATGCCAAATTAAACGAGATTCTTCAAGTTTAGTAGAACGCCATATCCTTTCAAGTTGTCTCGACTTTTGCTTTATTTTGCAGGTTTCGGCATTATGCCATGGAGCTAGTCTATGTTGTTTTATTTTCTTCTTTTTCAAAGGAGCAACAGAGTCTAATTTTATTCGCAGCGCATCTGTAGCACTATCAACAACATGATCAATTTGGGGTGGTGTACATTTTGTATACGTTTCCTCCCTTACATGCAGACATGCTATCGAGTTAAGTATTGGTGGAATCTGTTCCTTAAATTTGGCTATAGCACTAACAGATAGGTTTCTGCTGCAGGAGCTTTTGACTAATGCTTTGTAGTCTCGTAACAGTACTTCAAAAGTTACTAAGAAATGGTCGGATAAAGCAGGATTATGCGGTTCGACTAATAGTTGCTCAATTTCAATACCATAAGTCAGAACAAGGTCGAGAGTGTGATTATAGCAGTGGGTTGGTTTATTTACACTCTGACAAAAACCAACAGAATCTAATATAGAGTTAAATGCAACAGTAAGGCTATTTTTATCATCGTCAACATGAATATTAAAGTCACCTACGATAATTACTTTATCTGTTTTAAGAACCAAAGTTGATAAAAACTCAGAGAATTCTGATAAGAATTCTGAATAAGGACCTGGTGCACGGTACACTGTAACAAATAAGATTGGCTGCAAAGTTTTCCAGGTCGGATAAGTAAGACTAAAAACAAGACTTTACAAGGAATGTTAGACTCCACACAAAATGATATGTAGGATGAGACAGTTGACGTCAGTTCATTGAGATCAGAGCATGAGCTATAAAACACATCCCAATCCGTGCAGTCCAAACATGCCTGTGAGGTGGCAATGCTTTCCTCTGTCCAACTTTTCACAGTTTTTTTTGTGCACACTTGTTTCCTGCAGATGGGTTTGCAGATCGGCACCAGAAGAACGCTCGTGTGGTATGAAGCTCCAAAAGGGGGCATGGTCAGGGACTTGAACGCACCAGGCACCGTGCCGTAACATAAGTCAATAGTGGATTTATTTAAAGTTGTAGGACATGTGACATACTGCTTGTATGTTTTTAAGGTCTTATGCACCTGACAGTGATTCAAATCTCCTAAAATAAATTTAGGAGCATCGGGGGAGAGGGAGTCCAGTCTGTTAGTAACTTCCTCAATCAGCTGAGTGGCTGCTGAGGCGTTTGCCCGTGGGTGAATGTAAACAATAGTGAAAAACAGCTGGGGGAACTCTCTAGGCAAGTAGAAGGAGCGAAGCGAAATGGATAACAGTTCAAGATCCGGAGTACATATTTCCTCCCGAACTGTGAAGGAATTACAGTACCTTTTGTTGATATAAAAGCATACTCCACCCCCGCAGGATTTGTTTGTTATGACAGGCGACCGGTCCATCCGAACAGGGTACCCAAAACCGCTGATGTGTAGGTCCTCGTTGCTGTCCGAGGCTTTCAGCCACGTCTCAGTGAATGCCAGCAGACACGCGTCCATGTAATCTCGCTTGAATTTAGCACAAGCCTCCAATTCGTCCAATTTGTTCCGTAGGGATTGAACATTGGAGAGAAGGATAGTTGGGAGCGGGGGGAGCCGTCGGTTGTCTAGCCCAGTGGTTCCCAAACTTTTTGTGCCCAAGGCACACCAAAGGACAAGTAAAAATCTCAAGGCACACCTATTGTGCAAAATAGCCCTTATAACACGTGTTATCACTCATATCATGTAAAATATCTGTAAATGTGCATAATTATTTACTAATGCCAAATAAAATGTGACAAAGAGAACTATGTTACTCGTGAAATATTTATTAACGAAATATTTCAGAAATTAATTTGAAACTTTATCAAATTAGGCTTCATCAAAGCAGCAACACACTCATTTAAACCAGACAGGTCACAACATTAAAAATGAGGCAAAGGAAACTCAGCAGAAATTCAGCACAGAGAACTGTCAATGCAAGGAAGCTGCACTGCATGGCCCTGAACTACAAATTATAAATGTAACATTTCAGCAATCAGCATTGAAACGTGCTATTGTAAATATTTTTGCCGACTTACAAATTAGTGAGATACATGTGCCTGTCGGGGCGCTGAGGAGAGGGCCACTCGCAAGTCCTGTTCAACAGAGAGCCGTGACCTCCTGTTGTTCTGATTACATATTACTTTTAAAAAAGTTATATATTACACTACTTCGTAACTATCTACATAAAGTAATTTGTTATTATACTCGCCGAGCACGTACAAACTGCGCATGCGTGAGTGGCAATAACTCTCCTTACCAGCAGGCGGCGGTAGTGTGTATTTGTCATTCAAAACAGGCAACAACCGGAAGACAGAGAAGAAGAACAGACTACGTGATATAAACAAACAACAAATAGCGTGTGCGGTAGCTTCACCTTAGCATGTGTTCTTTGCAGGTGTGTGTGTTGAGGTTTGACCACGTGGTGTTTCCAGCAGTGGATAACAGCTTCTGGCCTGGACACAGTTTGCACCTCACCGTCACATTCCTGTCTATTCTTTGGACGAACTCAAAATAATGGGCATACCTCCACCCCTCGAGAGTTATCGCTGACTCAGCCATGTTTATGCAGCACTGCACGTGGAGATGTGGACGCGCAAGTCGCGCAGATTACATACATATAAACCTACAAAGTACTGATATAGTAAATAAAAAAATAATTATTTTTGTGTAGTTGTATATTGCAATAATAACGTATGGTTGTCACAAAATCCCACGGCACACCCGGCACACCGTTTGGGAACCACTGGTCTAGCCCATTTGTCCTCAGTCTGCGTTGAACGCCTCCTCTCCTTCCTCTCTTCCTCCAACGATTTTTGGGCAACATCCCGCCCGGTAAAGCATTTGTACTACCACTTCTTAGGAAGTGGGGAATAGGCGGAATAGGGTTACTTGCTGCCAGTGAACTTATATCCAGCAGCAGCTCGTGGCTGTAGATGAGCCTGTGACTCAGCACGTCACCGCTGAGTCCCCATTCCATACGGCTGAAAAGAGTCCAAAGCACCGCACGGAGTATATAGACACTCCGCATGATTACAATAATCCACACAAGCTCCTGGATGTAGAAACGTTCACACAAACTAGAAGAACAACAAAAAAACAAAGCATGACACACACAGCTGCTCCCAGGTCGCACCAGCGTGAGCGCCCCGGAAGTCCTCGTAAAGTACTGTAGGCCTACTGAACAGTTAGCATGAACACAACTCCAGTTATATTTGTAAAGGAATATTTTAGTCTGACGCGTAGCTGACCTGAGAAACTTCACATGAGTGACTACTCTTTCTCTGTGTGGGGGGAAGGGTTTACTGCCCACTCAGACAGAGTTTCTTTGTCTGTTCATCTGTAATCGATTGGGGTAAAGGCCCGCGTTTCTGGGCTCCGCCCCTTCTCAGAGACCAGGTTCGAGCGCTTCCGTCTTTGTGTGGGCAGAGTTAATTTTGGCAGCTTGCATTGAACAGTGCGAGTTGCTTTGTTAATCCTCCGGCCGTTTGTCTCTCAATAAATATCAGTGTATTAACAGGCGAATCCAGTTTCCCTCATTTGATGATTGGCTCAACATTGCTGCAAAGAAGTTTTTACTTCACAATTGGCGTCGCGAACAATTACCAACAGATCGTCGAGCTGGTGAGTGTAATTTCAAATCTATATTTTGACATTGCCTCGCCAGACTCTGTGATTGACGGTATAAAAATGACCTGTGGAACAGATAGATGTAATTTTTTTGGTTCCCTCTGTGTGTGTGCACGGCAAATATTCGGAGAGACCTTAAAGAGGGCATCAGTAATGTGGAACTTCCGTTCAAAAGAAATGTAAAGATTTGTACTGAAACGAATCGCCGAATTCTGGAGATTTCAACGGTTTAACCAGTTAAATGAACTCGCCTCGACATCTCCCTGTTGCTGCTGCAAGGAGGGTGTGGGTAATTCCCCTCCCCCCCCCCCCTGTGGAGAGCAGCACACGAGGAGAAACAAAGCAGTGTCGTATTCTTCTTAAATCGCACCATTATGAGTTTTGGAACTAAACAGAACTATTATTAACGGGAAACGTGATACGAAATATTACGTCACGCTGTGTTTCATAAACTGAGGGGTTGTTGAATTTGGCTGTTGTTAAAATAAAGGGTACTGAATTCATTAAAAGTCTCTGCTCTCCGGATCGGAGAGGGCAGAGCACCACTAAATTAGCATAGTGGTTGTTGATTGAGAATAATGTAGTTATTACTTTTCAACATATTCCGTTCTTAGCACTTGTACAAGTATATATGAGTAAGAAGGCACTCATATTAAACAGATATTTCCCTACCCCCGCTGAAGTTTCCCTAATTCGGATTAAAATTAAGCTGGATGAGTTTAGCTGTCACCTGATATTTGTTGCGGGTTCATGTTTGTTTGTATAATTGTTTCGTGTTTGTTTGTCTACCCGCCGTCTTGTGCATGCTTTGTAACAACTAATAATGAATCAGTCCACAGCCAAGGTAAAATGAACTAAACTTTAGTTATCTCACCAAAAGTAAATTACTTGAGAAAAAAAATGGATGATGTAGGGATGTAGAGCAAAATTATACATTGTAATCTAAATTTCCGCAAAAGGAAAATAAATAGCTAAAAGCCTCTGTTTTACACCCGGGAACCTCAGAGGCATCACTGCGGGTCATCTGTCTGCTCAAATAGATCAATGTTGTATTATTTGTTTCATTTATTCTTAATCTATGTATTGTATGGTAATAATGAAAATAAAAAAACCTAATGTATTGAACACATTCCGAAACAAAGCAGATAAGACAAGACTCAGACATAATGGTGATTGAACCTTTTTGCACGATTGATGCAAAATGAAAACTTTGTCATTATCTGTTTCCAACTGGCCACTGGAATTGGAGAATTGATATAAGTTGAAGTTCAATTACAGTTTTAAATATAGTTCAACATTCTTTATTAAACTGTTTCAAATTATTTCTAGTCAAAATCCCCTCCTTTTCTCTACTCTGCTTGGTGCTGCAGAAGAAGAAAATAAAATAAAACGCAAGACACGGGGTCAGAGACAGGCGTGACCTCAGGAAGGAGAAGATAATCTGAAGCAGACCACAGCACGGTGCGTTGGGGGTTTTATGGCCTGAGCACAAAGGAACATCTCATGTCAGCAGTCAGTTTTTTTTTTGGCAGAACTGTTGAGCACTTTAAAAATGTATTTTCATGCCTCTGTGCATGGCTTAGTCTTTCTATCTGTATAGCCACTGGTGTAAAGTAACTAAGTTCATAAACTCAACAAGTACTATACTTGGGCACAATTTTGAGATACTGGTACTTTATTTGAGTATTTAAATGTTTTGCCACTTTATTCTTCTACTCCACTACAGTTCAGTGGTACATGGTGTACTTCTCCTCCACTACATGTATTTAATACCTTTAGTTACTTCACAGATGTGGATGAATGATGTGAAATATAACCAAGTGTTAAATTAGACTTTAGTTCCACCTGGAGTAAATCCACAAGCTACCCTGCAGTATACAAAGTCATTCAAACTAGCTGCACCTTTACCAGCTTTGAGAACACTTTCATGATCAATCATTATAAAACATATCATATATAGTATTCTGAAATAAACCAATCTGCACAACGACTACTTTTACTGTCGCTATTTTCACTATATTTTGATGACAATACTTTTATACTTTTACTTGAGTAACATTTTGAATGCAGTACTTTTACTGTAACTTAGTATTCCTACACTCTGGTACTTCTACTTGTACTCAAGAACAAGATCTGAGTAGCTAAGCTAACGTTAGCCAGAAACCTTCCATTTTGACACAAAGAACAATGGGGTAATGTAAAGTAATTCACACAGCCTCTTCCCGACGAGCAGCAGGTTCAGCTTCATTTAAATATGTCGTGTAGTAATAGATGGATTTATTTTTTCCTCTAAAGAGAGAATGTGTATTTTATGTTAGTATTTC